TGTAAATCACAGTAGTCCTGTACTCTACAGTACAACACTGCTGTATTACACATCACAGTACTCTACTGTAAATCACAGTACTCTACAGTACAACAGTACGCTACGGTACGCTGCACTGCACACGGACTGAGCTGCGGTTGTTTGTTGCCGTTGTTTATCTGTGCAGGTGAGAAGTCTGTTCTCTCTCATGTTGGTAATGTTAGGGTGCAGTTAGAGAATATTTAAATTCAATGCTCAAACAGGATGGTGCAGCAGGCCTCACAGGAACACTGGTAAAACCCTCTGGCAGCTGACACAGTCTAATAAAACAGTTTAAAGAAACAGGAACGGGGAAAGGGAAGTATATGCCACTGTTGGTTCTTGTGTTTCGTTCTCATGCTCTCCTTTTCTCTCTTCTCTTTCTGCTCAGCCACAAACTGGTTGTGGCCCCAATAGGCCAGTTTAGACCTTTTTGGAGGGGTGCCCAGACACTCCTAGATTTCATCACAGCAGTAATTATCTGCAATTATAATAGCAAATAATTCGATGTGATTCTCTAGTTCAAACAATTAGTGTGTGATTGTCAGTGCAAAGAAGGAGTAAGGAGGATGGAGAGAGAGACAACAGAGAGTCTGTTTAAGAGCAGGAAGAACCAGGTGAGAGTTCCACTCACCTGGTTCTTCCAGGTGAGTTGTTCGGTGTTTTTCCACTTAACTTCCCCAGTTAGGTGGAAAAACGATTTTTCTCAAAATAACCTGACATGCATCTCATGGGTGCATTTCAGTAGCTTATGATACGAATGGTAGCATTTAAGAGATGGCAGCATTAATGTTACTTGTTTGAAAAGGTAACAAGCTTTAACATGTAACACGCGTTTTGCCATATGGCAGTAAAAATAACACAGAAACGTATTCAGTGATATCTGTAAGTAAGTAAAATTTTATTTATAAAGCACATTTCTAAATAAAAGATCACAAAGTGCTTCACAAGGTATAAAACAAAAACAGTCAAAAGTTAACAAAATGCAATTTTAAAAAGATGTTTTTAGCTGTTTTTTAAAAGTAATCACTGAGTCTGCAGATCTTAAGTTCTGAGGAAGAGAGTCCACAGTCTGGCGGCCACAGTGGCAAAAGCTCTGTCACCCTTGGTTTTCAGTCTTGTATACTGAATAACAAGTAGGCCCTGATCACAAGACCTCAGGGACCTGCTAGAGACGTAGGGCTGTAAAAGTTCAATGGTGTAGGCTGGTGCTTGTTCTTGAAGAGCCTTAAAGGTCAGAACCAGAATCTTAAGATGGACTCTGAATTCAACGGGGAGCCAGTGCAGCTGTATAAGCAACGATGTTACATGAGAGTGTTTAGATGTTTTGTCAGAAGCCTTGCTGCAGCATTTTGGACAATCTGCAGACGCTCCAGGGAGTTTTTGTTTAGACATGTAAACAGTGAATTACAGTAGTCCAATCGTGATGAAATGAATGCATGAATAACAATCTCCAGTTCAGTATGAGACACTGTAGGGCTCAATTTAGAAATGCTTCTTAAATGATAGAAGCAGGACCGAACCAGAGATTTGACGGGGACATCCAGGGTAGGAGCAGAATCATTGTATTACACTTTTATTTTTTTATAATAAATAGCCCCACCGACCACTTGGTCACACAAGCACTTGTGTTGTATGAATGAAAGTGCTTTCCATGTGACCTTCACACTGCAGTGAACACATCTGAGAACAACGTGGATTCAGTGTCTTGCCCAGAAATACTTTGGCTTGCAGAGTGGAGCAGCCAGGGATCACACCACCTCTACAGCCGGTGTGGATGGTTGTGGACTGCTCCGCTTGACCACACAGCCAGCTGGATTAGTAGAGTCTTGGTCTGTCAACCTTCTGAAGTGCTCGGCCTCCCAGAGACTGCTGACTGTTATACTGAGTACTTTTTGTAATGCTGAGCATCAGATTAGTTTTTTCCTTTGCTGTGGAGGTATGATCAATGTATGGATACGTCTTTAAGACTTCAGCATACATACTGGCACCCAAAGTAAACTACAAATTAAGCTCACGGACAGTCAGGCCTCCTTTCTTTAGCTTTGACAAATATTGATGGGTCTGTCTAGCACAAACCCCTCGCTGGAACGCGACAACTCTACTAAAGCAAGATGCAAGCCACCAAAGTTCTGTGTTACTCGTGCACGAGGTAGAGAACTGACAAGTGTTCTGTCGCTCACCCCATCGCTCTCGTCTGCTCCCTCGTAGCACTGCTCTTTATTGAGGTTACATGAATATGCATAGCTTCATTAACATATCGTGTGTGGTCAAGATGTGACCCTGTGAACAACTCCTCTAAATCTGCTGGTCTGGACGTCCAGCAGTTCAGCTAAACAAAAGGTGCTTATACCAAAGCAGACATGGATGAGTTTAACATAAACCAAGGTATGAACTCTCTCATGACCCTAGGATGTGTACGTATATCAGAGGGAGGCACACCGGCTTTGCAGACTGCTAAGGATCAGACATCCTATCAATATGCAACGATTATACACCTCTAAAATATATGGTTATATATTTCTAAGCATAAATGACAATCCACAATATAAACCTAACAAATATGAAGTCACTTTTCTATCTTGTAATAAATCTGTAGAGTTTGGTTCTAGTCTTTCACTGACTACTACTGTTACGAACCCAGTAAAGAAAGGAAAACTATCCAAACAACTCCAGGCAATAAAAACCAAACAAAAATAGAAATACAGCAAATTTTATTCCAACATGCTCTAAAATGCTTCAGCGTTTTGTCCTGAAGATGGCAGCAGGAGGCCTGTAAGTGCCCTCATAATGTTTTAAATGTCTTTTTTGTCATCTTATAAACTTTAATTCTCACCGTAGAAAGAGCTGGTTATTCTTTATTTACGAAGAAGGCCTGCAGGTTGGCCTTTTTTAATAGAACGGGAAATGCCAGCACTGCAGATTTGCAGTATATACAGCAAGATAAAATGGTTAGCAACAGAGTAGCTGTCCTTCACAAACCACCGTGTAAGTTTGAAAATATCTCTGTGTTGGCCCTGCGTCAGTCTAACCCAGGCGACACTCTGGAGCCTCCAAAGCCTCTTCAACCAAGCTGTACCAACAAACCTGACCAAACTAACAAATACTGAAACAATCATACTGTAAAGTGTCTCCACAGAGATGCTAAGGTGAATAAGAAAAGTGAGAAAAAAGCTCCAAGTGAAACTGAGAGAACTCAAAAGGACTGTGACAGAAACTCACAACAGGAATCACAATGTGGCTCATTCCCCTGTGCAGCACTGCTGAACTGGAAGTTTGGGTCCTCCCACTATTCAAATTCCACTTTAATCTCTGGGCAAGTTGTTAAATTTACTTTAGTATAGAACACTTTCTGGTCTTTTTGGCCACTCAGAGCACTTTACATACATACCTGTGAGCTATAAAATTAGTCTCAAGTGAGGACGCTAACACCTGATGACAGAGGTGCTTCATTTGTTGCACAGTCCAGTGTTGACAGTGTGCCTTTTTCTCACGCAGTGGGTTTGATGTGTTTATTCATTTATGACGTTTTCAAATTTTACACAAAATACTGTCAAAGATGGCACGAACAATTCTCTTAACACCAATCTTATCACAATAACATTTTTATTTGAAACATGGTCTCAACACTGCACACAATGTTGTATCCTATGTGCCACACCTACGTTTAAACCTGAAAGAGGAAAAAAACCTGGACTGGACTGTGAAGAAGAAGTCCCAGGGTTTGTTTCTGACTGGGTGCCTTCTTCATGCAGGTACGTTTCTTCCACATTTAGTGAAGTTTCTTGTTTATGTCATTTGAAAATTGCAGAACCTTTTCTCTTGATTACAAAATCAGGATCTTTCAGCTATGAAATTCTTCAGATACAAAAACCATGATCCATTTTTTCTTTCAAGGCAGTGCATTTCTATATGGTCCCTGTATGCTATCAGAAGACTTTATTTATCCCCAAGGGGCAATTGTTTGTTAATGGCCCCTTGGGCAACTATTCAGCAGTTGTGACTGGACATAGCCGAACGCTCCACATTCATATGTGACATCATGTGCCACACATAACAAGTACGGTTGTCTTAGAGGAGAATACCAGAATAAAAAGTCTTTAGTCTTGGATAAAAATGCGTCCCTGCACACATGGCTGCACTTAGACTGTGATGTGCCGTCCACGAACCATTAATCCAGTGTTGAACAGTTATTACGTCTGTGTGAAAGGCCCTTGACAGAACTGGCACACTTGTGTAAACATGGCAGGTAGCAGAGTAAATAAGTGGTAGATGTAAGGGGTTAGACAAATTCAAGACTTTCAATCATCAGGACACAGATGATCAATCAGTCAAAGGATAACTGATCAGTTCAGGTCGGGCGATGTAAGCAGTGTTGAAGTGGGTGGAGCTGCTTCACCGAGAGGCTGCAAAAGAAATAAAGAGAGTCGGTGTTTCAGACATCTTTCCAAATCACAACCGAGTTGGCAAAAGTACAGACATTCTGTACTTAAGTAGAAGTCCAGATACTACTGTTAAAAAATACTCCAGTAAAGGCTGAAGTACTGATTCAACTCATTTACTCGAGTAAAAGTAAATATTACAGACTCCAACATGTACTCAAAGTAAGACAGCAAATAGTAGTTCTTTGCAGCGCATTTCTATTTTTGTGCAAAGCATGAAGTTGATGTGAAGGTGGAATTCAGGATCTCAGCATCATCATATGAACCTGTGACCATGAACCCACAGCCACTGTGCACCAGTCACACACTGGCCTTTACTTTAAACCCATCGCAGTGAAGCAAACCAGCCTGTTTATCCTGCACTAACCTGCAGAGGATTGTCATGCAGCAAACAAAATGTTGAGATGGGTATTGTAGCTGACATTGTTGCAGATTTGATCCAGATGCACTTTGAGTATGAAGACTATGAAGAGTTTAAGAGCTGGATACTTACAGTGTATGATACGAAGCTACGCCTCTGCCTGAAGAGAAGGACACAGAGAATGGCAGCGATGACTGTCTGGGCCAGAGTGAAGACGAGGAGGGACGACTTCACTCCCCTGCTCAGCCTCTGTTGTGAAAAGTACATACATTTCACACAAGATGCATTAATTATTGCACAATTTATCCATGCTCGGTGCCATTACTTATGCTTTTGCTGTATACAAGCAAAGTAATCCATCCATCGATCTACTTAAACTAATGAATAAATGTCTGGATGGATCATTAACATGAATGATGAATTATTTCAAGTCTATATTCTATATTTTATTGAAAAGAGTATGAAGGCAAGTGGGAGATTCTTATTTTGAAATTCTTTATCATATTTCTTGTTTCATAATGGTCCAAATGTTTTCTGTGTGTCGTCTCCAGACAGGCCAGTTTCGTGCTCATTGACTATTAAGCTGTGTCTTGGATATGTGCAGAATGGGTTTTGGTAAATAAGCATCATCTGTAAAAACCCCCAAACAAACATCTACATGACAGCATTTGTTGCTCCACAACCCAGATGTATGTTCAGAATGAGTTGGTCCTTCACAGATGTAAAACCTAAACATAGATGCACTGTTGCACTCCTACACCATCAGAAACGCTGTCTATAGTCTGTGTCCTCCAACAAGATAACTGCCCATTGAAAAACTGTTTCATAAGTGTCATAAGACAGTTTTCCAATTCTTATCAGTCCATCTTAAATCAGCTCACGTCCAGGGAAGTTGGAGACGTGCCTCGACTGTGTTTACATCTGTTTTTTCTTTGCATGGAACAATTTTAACTTGCATTTGTGGCTACAGTGGACTGTATTAACTGCCAGCTGCTGCATGAATCTTTCTGAGCCCACACAGTGATTTCCAACACAGGCTTGTATCTGTTTTTAATATCACCACTATTTCATATAGTAGTCAGCACTGGCCTTGGCCTAACAGATGTTTCGTCAATCAGTAAAACGCTCCACAGAGCTGGCCCTCCAGTCAAACCCATTAACACTGAAGAACAGCCTTGGTTAGGACATGGTTAGGACCCTAAGGTCACTCTAACACAGCCCCTTACAGAAATGCTTGTGCTCTAGCTGCGGACATAGCCTCACCATTCCAGGGCTTGGTTTTTTAGCATAGACACGTACTAGATACTGGGTGGGAATCGAACGTACGACTCGCGCTCCAAAGGTGTGTAGTCTTACCACTAGACTAACCAGCTACTTTTCTTGAGTGGGCCAGACACACACATCATAAACCATTCACTCGTACTTTGTACAGTGTAATATTGTAAAAAACATGGTGTCGTACAAGAGAAGTCCAATAAAATGCTTAAAACCCGGAATGTTTGTGGAAACTCAAAGAAGACTCAGGGCTCCAACTGCATTGAGGCTGTGACTCTGAATATTTCTGCAGAGATTTCAGTTTTTGCTTTTAGTGCTTAACATGCAGCTGCAACTGCAGCTCATCAAGCCATCACCAGCTGCACTGATTACCTTCTCCATGAGCGTCCTATTTAGCAGTGCGGCTGAGCTACAGTCAATGCTGGATTATTGAGTTTACCCTTGTTAGTATGGCCGTGTTCCTCTGTGTTTTTGAACCTCACTTGTTGTGGATACCTTTGCCGACATGTGTGTTTGTTTTGTTACCAGGGAGCGGGAGCCTTTTTCTTCACTTGGACGGAGTCACGGATTAGGAGCACAAGAGGGAAGTGTGTGTTGGAGCTATGGGTCGGAGCACGGATTGTTTGGAACTTTTTTTACGTATAGATCTAACTATACTGTAGAAGCACTTCATCTTAATAAGTTATTTCTAATTATATTTTATATATTATGGGGATGGCTAAATGCTTAAATATGCAATCCATACACTGGACATGTCACTATTACTCAGGATGTGAGCGCAAAAAAGAGTATTATGCTTTACACAATTACAAAAAGACAGAAAACAACTACAAACTGAAACACGTACTAAGAGACAACAAAATAAATACAAAGTAACACAAAAATCTCTACAAAGAGAAAAAAACGAGTGTACAAAATGACAGAGAAAAAGACTACAGGGACACAAAAGTGATAGACACACAACAAAAATGTGCAAATTAAGTACAAAGAAATCCAGAATGACAGGTACTGAAAGACACCCAGAATAGTTTAAAGACCAACCGTCTCGTAGTGCTTTTCGTCACATCTGTTGTATTCTGTAGTTTTCATACAAGGCTCCTCAGGATTTTTGTTCATGTCCACAGAGTAGATGATCACAGCCACCACTGACAGCATAACAGACACCATGCTTATCATGAGACACAGCTGCAGCTGAAACCCCGCCCCCCCCAAAAACATTTTACTTTAGTATGTTAGCTTTTTCTAAATCATGCGCTGTTGTTCAGTTATTTTCAACTTAGCTGAAACAATGTTTCAAGTTTTAGAAGAGACTCACAATCTTCATGGTGCAGTGTTTGTCCAAGAATATTGCAATTCCTCCTGCTGTGATGAACTGCGAGCAGGAAAATCCATTTATTAATATACCATTAACCCCCCCACATGCACACACACACGCACGCACACACACACACACACACACACACACACACAAACTCACCATCAGGCCGCTCCACCAAGGAACTCCCAGGGTGACCACCTCTGTGAACTCAGTGAAGAGCAGAGGAATGGAGTAGGACATGACCATCAGTCCTAGCATCACCTGACTAACCTGGGATGTGTGCACGCACACACACACACACACACACACACACACACACACACACACACAGATTACTATCAAACAGCTCTCTGACAGAAGTTATGATACAGGAACATGCTGCATCCTCATCCATGTGAAACATGGAGGTGGTAATTCCATTCAATTCCATTTGTACACCAGTAATAACAAAGACAACTGAATTAAGGTGCTTCATATTGCAATGTAAAGACCCCACAGCATTGCAGAGACGTCTCTAACAATCAGATGGCCGCTGTGAACAAGCACTTAGCGAAGATGTAAAGAAAGGATTCCCTTTTAATAGGATGCAACCGCCACCAGAACTTGACCAATGGGGGGGCAGCCATCGGCCAAGACTGGCTGTGGAGTAATGAACCAAAAGGATTGCAAAGGTAGGCAAGGACAAAATACACACTATGGAGTGGAAAGGACAAAAGCTAATGACATGTAGAAGTGGCATATAAATGCATGGGGAGGGAAAAAGAAATCAAAACACAGACGTTCTGTATCCACACATATACAAACACAACTACACAGAGGTCAAAACTCACCCCCAGACATTTGGGTTCTCCTTTCTGGATGGCATTCTTCAGTGCCTGTTGTCTCTCAGCAAGCTTGAGAGTATTCGGGTCTGCCAGCACCCGCACTGTGAGATCCCTGGAGACTGACACTGCCATCACCTGCAATGAGCAGCAAAGCACCCACTGCACTCATCTCTCAAATCAAATCACATGCTCTGCAGAATTGTGCAGGGAACATTGGGGGAGCTGCAGAACTTTCCTACATCACATATGCAGACTTTTAGTAGTCTATGTTCCATTTAATTATATCCCAACAAAGTGTGTAGATAGCAGATATTTTCTCTTTACTACCATCTCCTGGAAAAAAGGCAAAACAATGACTCACCATCATTTTTAAAACTGTGTACATGCTGTTGTAAAATGCAAGCACAGAGATGTAGCATAGTTGCATTTAGCATCGGGTTCATGAACACTGCAAGATGCTATAAAAGATCCAGAAATCAAAGCCTTACCTGCAGTTACTATAAGTACTAACATTGTGAAGAAATACCTGTCCTCTGTGACTATTACAGACTTAAGACAGGAATACTGGTTTCGACTTTGAGACTGCACAATGCATGAAAATGGGCAAGTATTAAGATATTAGAAGCTACAGTCTGTCTGTGTTCCAGTGAGCCGTCACCTTTGGCTCTGTACTAGTGGATCTCAAGACATTTGAATGATATGAAGAAGTTCATTTGTATGTAATTTTGATGATCATTGCTGATAGGAAACGAAAGCAAGAATCGAATGTGTCAATTTATTCAAGCATGTTATGGTTTGGTTGTCAGGTTTGGGGTTTTGTGTTCGTTCTTCTCTTCTCTTGTCCTAAGAGTCTGTCTCTGAGTCTGTCCAAAGGGTTTGCAGCTTTCCTCTGAAACCACATCTAGAATTCTCAGTCGGTAAAGAGAAGGACAATGCAGTAACGTACCTGCCTGCCCATCTCTACCACTGTTTGTATCTGGAATTTGCAAACCTGCCCACTCTTTGGTGACTTGTTCAAAGGGATGAGCCTGAGGCCTGAGGAACTATTTCACAGAATCAACTTTTTTAGGATTTCCTTACCTGGATGATTGAGGATGCGTCAAGACCATTTCACTGAGATTAAGAATTGATCATGAACTCTGTGAACATGCTAAAGACAAGAACTAGCCCTGACCTTGTCTATTCTTCCATTCATTCTGGCACTGTAAGCGTTGGATCCCTGATCAAGGTTTTTAAGATATCGAATGCTTCTGCAGTCTTCCAGGCCCTAGTAAACAATATGTATTACAGTCTTTTTGTGTTTGTATACCTTCTCATCTTCTCCAAGGAGCAGTATTGTGAGCATGTGAGGTTAGTTTGTATCAGCATGTGTCAAGGCAGAAAAGTGTGTTTTCACACTGTTGCTTTGTATGAACAGCAGATGTAGACAATGCCTTCATGAAACTGAGACAGCTCCTCTCCTATTTTGATCCAACCTGACTCACACAAACAGTTTGTGGAGTTACACACTTGTGACTGTGGGGCAGTGGCAACCCTTTCCCAGTGTGGTGACCCACATGGTAAGTGCCACCCATGTTCTTTCTTCTCCTATCATTTGTCTTCCACTGAGCAGAATTATGACTTAGGTAAACTTAAGCTCCTAGCACTTACATTAGCTGTGCAGACCCCATTTGGAGGGGGGCAAAGAGCCTTTTGTTTGTACAAATGATCAGTTATTTAATATTGAACACATTTTTAAATGAATTTTATAACATTTGTACTGATCATCAAATCTATTGTATTTTTAACAAATTATTACATCTTAGAATTTTTGTTATTTTTAACATTTTTGCATATTATTTTAGTTTGTTTTACTTCATTTCCACTTGCATCAAAGGATTTAAATAAATAACAAACATGTTCCATGTACCTCAAAGTCAATAAATCTGTTCTCAAACTCCCAGAAATGGAGGAAACAGTTTCATGATCATTAATATGCAAATTGCCATGACTGTTGCTCAACAACCACTGATCAACAACCACTGATCAATAACCATGAGTCCCATTCACAGAGAGTTAAATGGCTGCAATCACAGCATTGTAAGATGGTGACAGATGTACCCTTAGGCCCCTCCTCGATTCAGAGATGGTCTTTCCCTTTTCACGTAAGTGGCCTCCTTGACTCCGCCCTCAAACCAGCGTTCCTCCCAGTCCAGGATGTTACATCCTCATCACTGAAAGAGTGTCCACTGGCCTGTAGGTGTAAATAGACTGCAGAGTCCTGGCCTGACGAGGTAGCTCTTCTGTGTTGTGCCATCCGCTTCGCCAGAGGTTGTTTGGTTTCCCCGATGTATAAATCACAGCAATCCTCCAGTGTACACTATACTGTGCTGTTTGTGCAGGCAGACCCGATCCTTGGGGTCGAGGCCCCAAATGGGAGCATTGCCATTAAGAAGCACTATCATTCAGCACTGACTGCATGGAGGGAAAGTGCAGGACTGTAAATGTACGGAAAAAATGTTCTTCTGAGCTTCAAATGCATTTATGGTACTTATCATGTCAGCAACTGTCTTACCTTTTGATTGACAGTTCAAATGGATCAGGACCCAATGACGTCAGTTAAAAATCCAAGGTCAAGCATCCACTCAGTGTCCTTGAGATGTCTTTCCCTTTGGTCTGCACGAACTGCATGAACTCCTTGATTTCACCCAAAGGTGACAAAAAAGGACATACACCCATCCCCTGCTTAGTCATCAGATCTCTCTGTGTAGTAACAGGTCACCGTGCTCAGCTGAAAGTTCCTCCAATAGGACGCCTGCTGGTGAATGGTGCAGTGGTTAGGCAGACATTTTGGCAAGTCTGTGTTACTATTGCATTGAGCAACGAAGCCTGCATATCAGCATGTCATGGTAGGAGCCCCGTGAGTAGTCTCCGACTCCAGCTTTTTCAATGGTACCTTGTTCTCCATGAAGAACCTCTTCACTGCATGTAGATGTCAACTCCCTCTGTTGTTGTCTTTGGGGGCAGTAGTGTGAAATCATCAAACACCATTTGACAGACATGATCATCTGCGATGTACTGCTGCTGTCCACAGACTCATCGTGCTGGATGTTGAACTACTAACCAGATCCTGGTCAAGTTCTCAGATATAGCTGACACTCTTCTCACCACTGTACTCGCCCCCAGTTACACATATTTATGTAATTGATATTAGGACCATTCTTCTCAAGTGTTTGAACAGAGTGTTTGCAATTATTATCACTGTGCCCTCCAAAATCTCTTTGCAGCTCTGAATGAAGCTTCAGTTGCTTTTTATGACTTTTCACCAGCCTTGTAAAAAAAAAAAGACTTCTGGTTGCCCAAAGCTGCCTTTAATTCGTCGACTTTTCTGCTCATGATGGTGGGTAGTTAGCATGGAGGCTTGCATGAAGTGCACTGAAGTGTCTCTCCACTTTGTGCCGCTTTGCCATCGCCACAGTTGCCCCCGGTGTTGGGGAGTAATTGAATACATGTACCAGCGTTACGTATTTAAAATACAAAATATGCGTAACTGTATTTCATTACAGTTACCGTTTAAAAAGGTGGTATTCCGAATACAGTTACTTTGTTGAAATAAATGGATTACACGACGGTCTTTTCCTGTTTCATATGTTAGGCTATGGCCTCTCTATTTTTGGTAATTCCACGCCGGTGGAAACCCAAGCGAAACGCAGTAAGAGGCTCAATGCCTGTGTCTTATTGTCACGGCCCATGTCACCTCTACTTGCAGCCGCGTAAAGAAATATTTTTAAAAAAATTATTATTCAAAAAATTATTTAATATGAAGGCAATATGAGCATAGTGTTACAGGCATAGCCCAATACCCGTTATGTGCAAAAAAACGGAGAGTGGAAAAGTACGAGCTGTCATCGAGCAGAAACGGGAGCTGGAAGCATGTAAATATAATAATAACCACTGCAGCCAAGAAGAGAGCCTGACGAGCCCAGCTGTGAGTAAGCTGTTAAGACTCGACTGTACACCGTGTTCCTGGTTTCCTCTGAAACAATAAGCTCTGTTGCAGCAGCCTTTCAACGCCTCTCTCTGTCTCTCACTAGCAAACTTGACCCAGACAACAAAGTAAAGCTAGTTTTCAGCTACGAGCCGACACGAACCCGACGTATTAGCCAGAGGTCCCTTTACTACGGTTCAGAGCTGCGGACCTGTTTTATATACGCGCGGAATAGTTTTCTATAAGCGATCACTGAGGTGGCACGGTGGTTAGCACTGTTGCCGCACAGCAAGAAGGTCCTGAGTTCAATTCCACCATCAGGCCGGCGTCTTTCTGTGTGGAGTTTGCATGTTCTCCCCGTGTCTGCGTGGGCTTCCTCCTACCGTCCAAAGACATGCAGCTTGTGGGGATAGGTTAATTGGATAATCCAAATTGTCACTAGGTGTGAATGGTTGTCTGTCCCTGTGTGTTGGCCCTGCGACAGACTGGCGACCTGTCCAGGATGTACCCCGCCTCTCGCCCTATTACAGCTGGGATAGGCTCCAGCGACCCTGAAAAGGATAAGTGGAAGCAAATGGATGGATGGACGAGATCCCTGCTAAAAGTGCAGTCCCACACCGGTTGCCCCGCAAATGAGACATACACACTTTTCTTTAACTGTTAGTTTAAAGATTTTTGTTTTCCATGTTTTTCTGAAAGAGTGAAAGCCACATCCTGCTCCTCATTGGAGCTACGCCCGCTGTCTCATCTCAGCAAAGAGCAAGACGGCAATTTGTCTTGATATTGAACCTCGGACCTCAGACAAGGTCCGAGATCATATATAGATACCATTCTGTTTTAAATATGTTCATATGCTAATGAGACAAATAAGTGGAAATTGTATTTCTATTGTTATACATCAGAAAATTGTGAAGCTTTTATTTTGACATCCAGATAGACAGGAAAGCCTTTATCTTGACATGTGCATAGACAGGAACAGTGGGTCAGGATTCCAGCATCACCTGACTGTCGGCCCAGGAACTGTGGGAGAGTAGCGGTGGGGAGGTGCGGGAAATTTGAAGGTGGACATTCCATACGGTTTGAGTGAATTGTTTGGTTTTTGGACTTTGGACTATGGATTTGGATCACAGAGTTTGGCAGTTGGCATAAACTGGTGTGTGACTGGCTC